GATTGCCTTTTCATATTGTAACACCTTTTTCAACCAGACTCATGTTTTATCTAGAGGTAGTGAACAAAACAATTTAAAGAAGCAGTATCCGTTGCTTCATTATATGTTTAATGCCCAAAAATATAGTTGTTTAACTTTAGAATATATTTTTGTTTTTTTGGGGAGGTACTGGACTTACTGAAGATTGTTGATGGATCTTAACTTTAAAATGCGTAATAAACTGCAACTAGATTAAGTGTCTAATCTACCTTTATTGGGTGACCTGGTTGTAAATATCAAAAGGCTATTAACTATATCAACGCAACTGTGGCGTCTTGATTCAAAATTACATCGATTTCAACAAAGTACTTTGTAACTGCCGAAATAAGATGTTCCTATTCAAACGGAGAAGTATTGATAAACCACTGATTTACCATTGTATTCGAAAAACATTATGCATTATAAATCTATCAAATAGCATCCTTCAGATATTCACAAGACATTAGTCTGTTGAGTATCAGTATTTGCATTTTTCAATTTTGTCTTTCCTATTGGCTCTGGAACTTAAAACTTCATACGTTTAGCGCAAAACCGCAAAACTGCCAAAATAGCCTCAGTTTGAGTTCTTGTAATTATTTTTTAGATATAAGACATAGCAAGTAAATATACGTACATACGTAAATGTCGACATGTTTATGACGTTATAGGGACATTACAAGTGACTTTTCTTCACTTAAATATGCAGATTTTATTAGCCCGTTCATTTATGAATAAAAGGAATATAATTTTGAAAAGTTTACTAATTTGGCATTTCAGAGGCGACATAACGGTTCTTATCATACCTCCAAAAAAAAACATCATACAAAAACTTGTCAATTTCTTTTCTCTTTAAAAAGAAATCGCCTTCAATTCCTATATATATATACATTTTCAAAGTATTACAATCAACCACCTTTTTCAAATTGCAAACAGATATTTGTTCTTACCTTTTGATAAATATGTGACTTGAAATATCGCTTTTTTACAGTTTCCTCTGGTGAAAAACCTGTTTCCTTTCAGTTTTCCGACGACTCTACATTTGTTACGACGATTTTTTTTTCTTTTCTGCTTTAATCTTTTGTTTTCTCTTTTTCCTTTTTTCCCCTTTTTGTTGTTCTTTCCCTTTCGTTCCCTTCTTTTATTAGTTTGTTCGTTTCTATTTTTTAAAGGTGAAACTATTTCGACATTCATAATTTTATCAGCACTCCTTATTGTACATTTTACAACCTTTTTGTTTTTTCTATGACGTTTACAACGACCTGACTTAGCACTAACTCTCTCGTTTTTTACACAGCGTGCTGGAATTTCTACAAAAAGAGAAGAAGGCATTAATTAGGTTTAAACAATGTCAGAAAGTTAAACAATAATTTAGTACATAACCTATTTCACATTTCCGAAGTATATACTTCACTTTTCTTGTATCTCTGGTGCTTTCTACTGGAGAACCGTCGTACACAAGCATCGCAGAAGTTGGCACTCCGAGGCGGGTGGGGAGCAAGAAGGTGAACTGTGGTTTATTTTTATCAATAGTACCGCTTAAGTCGAAGCTAGGGGCCGTCTTGACCTTGTTGTAGGGTATGAATGATTCGTTCATTGTTGAAGACCCTACATCAACTGTCAAGATGAAGAACAGGAATAAAAGCCCTATTCATTGATAATTTTCTATGTTTTCAATGTATTGTGTGCGATTTTGTCCCATGTACATTTACTCCATATCCTTTCATTTTCTATTTAATCCAAAAAAAGTTCAAAAAACTATAAATCGAACTTTGAACTAAATAAATGCAACAGTAGTATACCGCTGTTCAATAGTCATCAGTTGATTAAGCGAAAACAAATCCGAGTCACAAACCAAAACCAAGGGAAACAAATCAACTATAAGAGGATTTATAACTGAACAACAGAAACACTGAACTGCTACAAAAGCAGATATGAGCCGATCCAAAAAAGACGAAACAGTAACTCAATAAAGTATATTCAATCTTAATTCCCTTTCACCACATGGTGTAACTAGAGAACACATTAGTCACTTTTCTTGTCCAGTATCTTTTCCGAATGTTGTGGATCTCCCATTCTTCAGAGTAAAATAATAAATATAGAATTAGGTAAGTTTATTTACTAGTGTATTCATAATAATAAATACCTGATGAGATTGATAAAAAAGATCATAAGGGATATCATACTTATAATTTGATTTCCCACACGGGCGTTTTATCCGCCGTAAGCTGGTCAAACAGTTGGAAGAAACATGTGATTCTGATAAAGATGCAAGTATTTAAATGAAATGTAATCATTTATAGATACTTTATTTGTTCATGCCCTGAAGAGACATTTTTTACAAATGTTTTTTTTTGTATAATTCCACTGACTATGACATTGAAATTTTCTTATTTACTTTATTGGTAAAGTTTTCATTATAGCCAATTGCTGGTTGGACTATTAAGTATTCTATTCGGGTGACTCGATATAATATCTGTCTATAAATTGCAAACAATTGAAACTTTTTGCACAAAATTAAACTTGAGTTTTGTTTTTCTTTAACCACATGATGACCATCTGTTTGTGTATATATATATAGTGTAAGATCTTATAGGACAAAACATACTAAACGTTTATTACTTGGCCTTTGGAGATGATTGAGAAGTCAGGAGATCTCAATGATTTTCAGGGCGTGTTTTCGTTCATTACTACTATCTGTTTTATTTGATATATTTCAAATATATTCATTTTAAACGTAAAGAGATGTTTTTAATATTACATTTATCGTTTATTATTAGTAAGGCTATAATCGTTCATTTCTTAAAATGAAAGACACTTTATGATTTTAAAGGTTGTGTTGATTAATTATATAATTTTGTGCAATGTTTTCTGTATTGCATGTTTTTTTCGATATCTTTTTTCCAGAGAAGTGTTGACTATTCTTTGCTCCAGTCTTATGTTTTCTTTGAAGTGTGAAGTAGAAAACAGTCTTTGTTATGTTTTTGTTTTTGTTTTTTTATGTATTTGTTTCGGAGTTAAGTGTGGCGTCCATTTCGCTGAACTATTATACATTATTGTTTGGGGGCCAGCTAAAGCCCGCCTCTGGGTGCGGGATTTTCTCGCTGCATTGACGATCAATTGATGGCCTTTGCCTGTTCTTTGCTCGAGTTGTTGTTGTCTTTGAAACATTTCCCGTTTCCAATCTCAATTCAATAATTTGGGTGTTCCTATTTAAAGACTACCTCGGGGAAAAGACTTTGGAAAATCAAAGCCAAAAAGATTTGATAATCATCCGAAATGTCAGATATAACTCTTAATCGATAAACAAGACAATATCTATGATATGTATCCTATCTTATATTATCAGGCCGTATAATTTGTTTTATGACATTTTGAGATCGATCGTCTTCTTTAAGCACTCAGTCTGGAAATTCGACTGTTTATTTCACTATTCGTAGATAAATTTTAAGACTATGACAGAATGACAACATATTAACTGAATTCCTCTAAATTTTGAATTGATATGGATAAAATATATTTAAAAGGCAATTGTGCAGAACTCTTCGGTTTATTGTCGAAATACGCATTCAGTGCATTAAAATTGGTACCGTTCATGGTAAGGTTAGTGAAAATAATATATAATGTAGTAATTAATTCATCGATAGATATGATGTCAGTTATTCCGGATTTTTTTTTCAACTACGCCAACCCTGTTACTGAGATGAACAAATTTCCCTTCTATTTTAAAGATCTGCAACAATAACACACAAAATGTGCTACATTTGTATGGTTCACATGAGGTATATATCTGTAGATAAGTACATGCTTGTCGATTGACTGAATTATAGACAAAAACTCTTGACATACTAGTGAAAACTCATGTTGCGAAGGATAAGTGTTTTATTGTTGTTTCTCATCACGACAATAAGAAGGCGATCAATAATGAACACAGAAGGGTCATAGGATAACCTGCACATTCATCTTGTTTAATCTTCTAGATATTATATAAGTTCATTCGACAACCTATCATGCTTATATTACCTAAAAAAGATGATCAAAGAACATTAAAACTTTTTGCTCAAAGAGTGGTTATTGTATTTGACAACTAAACAGGTAAGGGAAAAGAATAGTGTCTTGAAAATTTGGTAATGATGTTCACCTCCTTTACTTCTTTCTTTAGAAAAAACTAGCTGATTTTAAACATCAAGTTTCTAAACTAGTGCCACATAGGAATAAAATTGAGAATGGAAATGGGGAATGTGTCAAAGAGACAACAACCCGACCATAGAACAGACAACAGCAGAAGGTCACCAACAGGTCTTCAATGCAGCGAGAAATTCCCGCACCCGGAGGCGCCCTTCAGCTGGCCCCTAAACAAATATATATACTAGTTCAGTGATAATGAACGCCATACTAAACTCCAAATTGTACACAAGAAACTAAAATTAAAAATAATACAAGACTAACAAAGGCTAGAGGCTCCTGACTTGGGACAGGCGCAAAAATGCGGCGGGGTTAAACATGTTTATGAGATCTCAACCCTCCCCCTATACCTCTAGCCGATGTAGAAAAGTAAACGCATAACAATACGCACATTAAAATTCAGTTCAAGAGAAGTCCGAGTCTGATGTCAGAAGATGTAACCAAAGAAAATAAACAAAATGACAATAATACATAAATAACAACAGACTACTAGCAGTTAACTGACATGCCAGCTCCAGACTTCAATTAAACTGATTGAAAGATTATGTCTTCATCATATGAATATCAGGCACAATCCTTCCCGTTAGGGGTTTAGTATCATACCATCATAACATATATGAGAAGAACATAACCCGTGTCATGCCAACAACTGGTTTTTAAATAAATGTGTTTAGTGCCGAAGCAAAGACCCTATAAGTGAAGAATAGATATGTATGCTCTGACCATATTTGCTATTCTAAATGAATACAAAATAAGATATGCTAAACAGACATATAAGCATTATACTAAATTATCATTACCATCACACTTTTCACGTCCATCTCCACGATAATTAGATTTGCATTCACATTCATAATTGCCATTTTTCACAACACACCATCCATTTTGATGGCACCCATCATTTTTCCAAACTTCTACCATCTCACCACCAGGCACACACTTCTCTTCTAGTGTACAGTCGTTTTCACGTCTTATAGCATTAATCTATAGTAATATATTAACAAACATTAAAAAATAATAAATGAAAGGTCGTTTTAGAGTAGCATCAATTAACTTGCATTCAAAACAGTTGACTCGCCATTTAAAAAATAATCTCAGCTTTTTTTAATAGATGAACACATATAACACAAAATTAGCGAACAATTTGCGAGTGGAAAACTGTACCAAACCTTTATACAGAGTAATATTTTAAAATATTAATTTGGTAGATCTACTGTGCGCTTTTTTAAAATTATCTATATAAGAGGAAAGACATTGCAAATTCCGAACAGTGTAATATGATAATCCAAGATAAACACACCTGGTCAAATGTTATGATGAAGTTAATAAATAACAGAGCATTATTGAAAAATCCTATTTTGTATCTATAAGAAATATAATCATATTTGTAAAGCATAAAGATAATAAAGTTTTTGTATCATTATCAGTGAAATATTGTTTCCTGCAAAACAAAACAAAAATCAAAAACTGCTCACTATATATAAATGGATTCGATTTTCTATAATTGTATTTTGTTAATATTTTGACAAAAACAATTTCATACAAAAAAATCAGCTATGCTTGGCCTTGTAAATTTATATTATCTAAGGGAGTAAGGGAAAAAATAACAATAATTTCAAGGCCAGTTTTTATTTTAATTTCAAAAATTATTTTTCGTCATTTCATATTCCAATCTAAATCTGATTTCTAAAATTCTGCAAAAAATTAAGCAAATCAATCAATGCTTCATCTAATATTCCAAATAGAAACAGGAATATCCAGTTTATATTGTCAATGAATTAATCATAATTACCTTATAATACTCATTATCAGCAGCAATACATCCACATTTACTTTCCTCAACACATTCGTTGTCATCTAGATAAAAACCTTCGTCACACACACAGCCTTCCAGAGCTGGTAAATCACAATCTTCATCAGTAGGGTTTTTGTTATCACATGTTGCTGGACAAGATGAGCTGAACTTATAACGTGAGTTTTCTTTACATTTCAATTCTACAACATAAATGTTTGAATCAATCACTTATGTGAATGTGGCAAGTTAATGGATTGTAAAGTAATTTAAAATTATTTAGTTAAATGCAATAAGATTCTACTGACACGATATAGTTTTAATTACTAAAAAGTAAAATCATAAAAATACTGAACTCCGATGAAAATTCAAAAAGGAAAGTCCCTCATCAAATGGCAAAATCAAAATCTCAAACACATCAAACGAATGGATAACAACTGTCATATTCCTGACTTGGTACAGGCATTTTCTTATGTAGAAAATGGTGGATTGAACATGGTTTTATAGCTAACTAAACCTCTCACTTGTATGACAGTCGCATCAAATTCCATTATATTGACAACGATGTAATAGAGCTTTCTTACAATTATACGAAAGGAACGTACACTTGACGAATCATATGTAAGACCCGTTTGAGGGATTCTTTATTTTGAATTATTCCTAAAATTTTACATATTAATGTAATCTTCATCAAGGCTCTCATGGCACTTAGATGGAACGACATATGTCAAACTTGAAATTTCTTGACATACGATTTAAAAATATAAAGAAAACAAGGTAAAGGAGATAAATCAACAAAATTTTCTAAACGTAGACTGGTCAGAAGAAGAAAAATATCAATTAAAAACTTGTGCTCAACTACCCTTCCCATCCAAAAAAAGTAAAATAAATAAAAAAAAATACTTCTTTCCATTAACTAACCTAAGAAAATGCCAATGCAAATATATTGTCCACCCTACCAAACAAAAAATAAAAATAATAAATAATTCTTCCTTAAATGTTAATTTTAAAACCCCCAAAAATAGTAAAATTGAAAAAAAATTACACCCAAAATATATTACAGGGCTCGTTCAATCATCCATATGTTTAATCATGTATGCAAATGAACAAAACAAGGTCTATAATTATTTAATCTATATCTAGTCCAAAGAGCTCGAGGGCGAATTTAGTAGTGGGTTACGCCTGATCTGTCTAAGTTTCCTTTTTTTCCCAGTATTATTTGTTGCGTGTTTGTCTTTTTTTTTACCACTTATGTTTGTTATACAGTGTGGCTACTCATATTGAACTCTATTTGCATTGGGTTGATGATCATATATTTGTTGGTTGACTGTCATTTTTTTGAATATTTATCAAATTTTAAATCAAAGCTGTCTGTAAAGGGTGTTTGTGTGTGGAATTATTACCCTTGAACTGACATGGGATTTCACATGTTCGTTCGTGTTAACATCTTCTGTAAATGATAGATGCACTACTGATTGGTCCACAAGTAATAAATAATTTCAAACTCAATACTGACTTTAAAGAGAATGAGAAGGGATAAGTCGTGCATCTAGCATTAACTTAAGATATTTCTAGTTGAAAACAGACTAAATGTATTTGTGGAATAAAAAGGCAACTACCATTTAATATCAAGAAAGGGGAGTAAAGTTTTTATTCTGTTTCACATTTGCTTCATATAATTGCATGTGTCGTAATATTTTCTTTTTAACATTTGACCTTTAAATGATTGGTAAAAAAATCTTCACAAAATCTTTTTCCTTCGTGGTTTTTTAATACATTTTTCCATGCATTGTAGTTTCTTTGTCTGGCAAATCTTGATGATACCCGTTGACAATTTGTTAATGACATACTCATTAAAGAATAAAAAATGATTATGAATTTTGTCGTTAAATCTAGAATATCATACTGCAAGAATTTCATTAAAATGTCATGGTTTAAAAAAGAAAAAAGTATTATAAGTCTCTGTTTTAACATTTAAAAAACATGCTTGAACAAATCCCGCGCAAATGTGTTTAATCGTGGTTAACATAAGCATCGTATCGAACATATGTGTATTTTAAACTATTTTTCTTTATTTTAAAACAATAAATGCGTGTTTTATTTGCGATATGCTTAAATTTTAAAAGATATTTTTGATTCAGAATAGAAAATTATTGGATAGACTTTAAGTGTTATCGTTAGATTTTAATACATGCTCCCTTTACGTTCGTTTGTTTCTTTGTCAAAATACAAAAAAGCTCTATTATGACAAAACATAAAATAATCATAGCATTTTACAAGTTTGACTAGTTGTACCTACGACAAAACAAAGACGGTAAATCAGCAAAGGAAAATTACAAAGCTGTTTTCGTCCAAATTCGTTAGCTTCAAGACGTAGTTACATTTCGTTTATAAACTGATAAATTGATGGTGAGTATGAAAAGTGCAAATATTAACCTATATATACATTCCATGATTTAACAGCAATACTAAATAGACATATTCATCTATAAACAGTACACTCACGAAAAAACTAACATGCCTGCCTTTATTACCGTTATACATAATAGTAGTAAAATCATACTTACCGCAAGAGCTTATTTGTCTCCACTCTTTATAATCATAGTTATTCTTCCTACAATTCTGTGCCATTGCATCTAAGGCAAGACATAATGCTTCCTTTTTATACGGAACATTTAGGAACATACAAACATCTATTACACATGCTTCATACAGTTCATTTGCCATTTTCACATCCTTTCTAATACAATCAGCAAATGGTGACTCTCCTCCAGCAGTTCTTTTTGGATTCAACATTCCACAATATTCATCTTTTTCTAACAATGCCTTCTGTTCTGCAGTACATTCTGGTATTGGTGCAGACGCAGGGCACCTATCAAAATATTTTTTTTTTTATCATATAGCTAGAAGGAACTACTTTGAAGTACAATTAAAGATGTTGGAGTGTAAGACAGACTTGATTTTAGCCAAGGTTTCAAATCATTGAGGCAAGTAAACTGTAAATAAATGTTGGCTTTATTTTCATTTTTTTTTAGTTTAAACGGTGTTTAACAATGTGTAATTTTGATTTTCCGAACTTTTGATCTCAAGTGTATCTGATGGACTCTTTCAAGAAACACTTGTCGAGTTAACGGAAAACGTCGGTTTATGATTATATTTATGACTGACGCATATTTCAAATACTGTTATGTTAATACTAAAATTTTGCCTCTACTTGTGAATGAATGATATTGTGAAATTAACTTATGGATTGTTTATATAGATAATTATATAGACTAGAGGCTCCAAGATGAATGAATTTCTGAATATTACAAAGAAGAAGATTTACTTTATAGTACCTAGTGAACATATCGGTCACGGTTGATGTAGTATAAAAACAAGAATTAGCGGCCATAGACCACCATGACCTCTCTCACATTATCTTTTTTCAATGTTCAGTGGACCGTGATATCTTCTTCAAAACCCTAAATTAGCATATATATGAAACATTCTACTTCCATCCTTAATTCTACTTCCTAATGAAACATATGAACAAAGTTTTAAATTGATGTCACCTCAAACTATCCTAAAACCAAACGTTTACCTATACCTTTAAAGACCTACAAATAAAAAAAATGCAGAAATGAAGGAACCCTTCTCACCTTAAAAGAGAAAAAGTTTAGGATCCCAGGCTATCACTTTAAGGAATTGTGGTTAATACCACTCCCGGTTATTAATGCCTCTGTCAATACTCAAAAAAAGGTCAATACTGGTCTATATAACACATTGTAAATAGAGGAAACTGTGCAAGGTTCTTTACTTTTGGATGACTCAGTTTATATTAGTGTTATTGGTATGTTTTATTAAAATTTAAGATTGATTATAACTTTATAAGTCTGTCGAGGATATGATATCACATATATATATATCCGCGAAAATTATAATGAAATCAAAAAAAATCCTAAACTATCCAAGATCTTTCCCGAGCCACCTGTACTGGCTTTCTGTAGGCCCAAAAGCCTTAAAGACTTGCTGGGGAGAGCTGATTTATCCTCTAAAGCAGGTTCTTCGTGTGTGGGCTCTTGCAAGGGTTGTGGAAACAAACGATGTCTGACTTGCAAACAAATACTGAATATCCAGACTTTTAACAGTCACTCCACTGGTACAGAATACACCATATTGTGCAATGTTAATTGCAAGACTACAAATGCTGTGTATCTTCTACAGTGTAAATGTGGTACACAGTATGTTGGCGAGTCAGAACAGCCATTTCACAAACGAATGAACGGCCATCGTAGCGACTATGAATGCAAGCCAGACCTCCCTGCCAGTCGACATTTGAGATCCCCTGGACACACTAAGGCAGATCTCAATCGACTGATCATTACAATCATAGACCACAACACTGCTTGGTCTAGGGAGGATAGACTCACTCGGGAAAGATTTTGGATAAGAAAATTAAAAATTTTGACACCAAATGGGATAAATGAAAAGATGTAGTTCGAATTCGCGCAGTGCTTTACATTTAGGTTATATTACTTATTACTACACAGTCTCTATTTCTATTTCTTTACCTTTGTCAACTCCTAAATGTTTTGTAATTATACCAGTTTAAATTTGCTTGATTCTATTCATTATAGAGGGATGAACAAGAACGCAGTCACGTTCAATTATTTAACCTTTGCTAAAATTTATTATTATTGTTTTAATCATTATCAAACTGTTATTTATTTTGGATATTTAAATACGCAGCCTCTGTTGTAACTACTCTACTGTTGTCAAATTTGAAGTATTATACCAGCGTAGATCAGTCAGTGCTGTTTATTGGAAATGTATTTCCACGCTATCGTTGTTGTAACATCTTAACTGTCGTCATCTGTGAAATTTTAGAAATGTACCAATTCATATCACACATTACTATTTTTATTTGAAGCATATCTTTGCAGTCTCTGTTGTAAATAGCTATATAACTTAAGTCATTATTTGAAATTTAAGAATTGTACAAGCGTCTCTTTGATGTTTGGTTTTAACTGTTTTATTGTATACATTTCAAGATTGTTATAGTTTAATCAGAATAGATGGATATGATTCATTTTACATCATAATCATACTGATGAAGGATATCTGTTATCCGAAATATTTATAGATAATTACATTAATTTTAAAGTTTCCTTTTTTATGTTATTGGTGTTGTTTTGTACACTTTTTAGGCGTTTATATATATATATATATATATATATATATATATATATATATATATATATATATGAAATGACCAAAGTAATTATTTCAACATAAGATGTTTTTCTTGAAAATATATGATTTCACAGGTACTTTATTACCTTTCACCTGGCCAAGTATGCTAGTGGTGAAAAAATAGACCCAATAAATACATGTTATCATGACAAGGGGAGTAATACAAGTGATATTTGAAGACTCCTCTCTATTATCGATTTGACAAAAACATTACTCAGATAGCATTTTTGTACAATGCATTTAGCAGACGAACTAATCTGCGTTTATAAGCCGATAGTCGATTTCGGAATTAATTTCTTTTTTATGGTTCTTTTCCAAACTCAATGGCTAAAAATGGATTATTTCAAATGTCTCAAGTTTGGGTGTTATCGTGAAAACAGATTACAGTCGATCGTGTAATGAGGCAGAAAAGTTATCGATATCATCCAGATTGAAACATTTTCTCGGCTTGGACTCTTTTACTTTATTTGGTCTTTTTAACATTTTTGATTCAAGCTTCATTAATGAGTCTTTTGTAGACAAAACGCGCATCTGGTGTACAAAATAGTTATCCTGATATCGATGATGGGTTTGTTCATTAACGTCACGTGATCGTTATTAATAAGAAAAACAATCATTTATTATGACCGCCAAAATAACACGAACCATGTTTTAGACTAATATTTATTGATTTATTTTTAAAAGAAAAATCGTATCACGTCTCTTTTAAGACTAGAAAAATGACATGTCATGATCACATAGGGCTCCGTCAATCTGACTAAAAACAAACCTTCGACTTTGCTCCGATAGTGTTGTTGGTCGGTGGTAAAAGATCGGGAAATAGCTCACAAAGTCTCATGTTAAGTAAGTTTTTTGGTCCAATCAAATATTTACTAAGCAAAGCTTAAACTTTTTCTATTGACTATCAAAAAAGTCTTCAGACAAACTGCGAAACATTTCCGAAACTTGTCAGGAAAATCGTAAATCTATCTATATAACTTCTCGATTTGGTTTCGATTTTATGCACCCTCCTGATGGTTAAATTTTCATTTACTTAGCAAGACAGTAATATTTCATTGCTTTGTTCATTTTCAATATCATAACTCGTTATAGTTGCGTATATCTATACCATTTGATCTCTCTCTTTCGGATAGTAGTCTCATTGACAATCATATCACATCTACTTATTTTGATATCGAACGTTGTACTTTCTGACTATACACGAGCGACATACACATTTTGCATAGCTAAGTGAAATTTCTGGGTTTTTTTTTCAGTTAGGAGTAACGTTTCATATATTTGTGTGAAGTATAGATGAAATAATTAATACCGATTCAAACAAAGTATTGCATGTTCTTCTAGTCAGTGAGCATACATTACTGTTGCCTAGTGTGTTCCAAAACGCCAACTTATTTTAAGAGGAATTATATTAAGAAGAGCTGAACTTCGATAAAGAGAAATAATTATGTATCTATTGACAAAAGAATGCTTAAAATAAATTGTCAGATGTTATTATCTAAAAACCACTGTTATGGTAACTTGTCATTATATAAATCAATTTGAAAAATCTGCTAAAATGACTTGATAGTTAATAAAGATATGCCTACCCTGTAAGTTCTTCTTCGGTATCATCAATCACTTCCCATTCCTTCCCCCAACGTGCATCTCTCTCTCTTTTTGGTAAATTAGAGATATCAGTTTCGTCACTGAGAATAAATTGATTTCTGTCAGTACAATCACCACATATGCCCTCTCCGTATTGTGAATAGTTCTTAGGAATATCGACTACCAATTTTGACCTTCCATCCCATAAAACAGTTATGTCACATTCACTTGAGTATACCTCTAGCTCACCAGTTTCCTTTCGAATGGTTATTCCACAATTTTCGACGTCATGTGATAAAGTTGATACTTCGAAGTCATCAACCTTTAATAATAATAAATTTAAATGATCAAATTACAACAAAACAAAATATTCTGGAGAAGAAAGATCGACTTCACCATCTCATTAAATAGAGCTTTTTCCATAAAAATTGGAATCGTAGATATAAATTTCTTGTTTTGGGTTATAATAATTTTTATTTTGTGAAGAACACTCTGATTCTATCAGAAAATACAGTGAAGATGATATTATCAAAATGTTGGACTTTTAATCGACAATATATTTGTTCAGTTTGGAGGATTAATATTTCAACAGACAGTCGGTATTCCAATGGGTACTAATTGTGCACCCCTTCTGGCCGACTTGTTTTTGTACTCGTATGAAGCAGTATTCATTCAGAATCTTCTAAAAGACAAAAAGAAAAAGCACTTTGCAAAATTCTTTAATTTTACTTTAAGATATATTGATGATGTTATATCATTGAATAACCAATATTTCAGTCAGTACTTGCATCTCATATATCCCAGTAAACTTGAAATTAAGGATACTACTGATACAGAAGGACTGCTTCATACCTTGATCTTTTCCTCAATATTGACACAGATAGCCGACTTCACACTAAAATCTATGACAAACGATATGATTTCAACTTCCCAGTTATCAATTTCCCATTTCTCAGCAGTATCATACCCTCTGCTCCGTCGTATGGTGTTTACAATTGATACGTTATGCTCATGCATGTTCACACTATACTGAATTCATATAAGGAGTATGCTCCTTACGCAGAAACTGCTCCAACAGAGTTATGAGGAGGAAAGATTAAAAATGAACACCATCACGAATTGGTTGATCTATACGATGTGTCTGTGTCTAAACTAATTAATGACATTTTTACTATGTCTTAGATTGTGGTTTAACATCTATGTTGTCTGTCTGCTAAGTACCGAACGTGACCTATTCCCGAATATGACTGTTATACCGAGTGTGAATTTGCATTGGTATACGACGTGTCTCGGTATTTTTTACATCCGACATTCATGTATTTATTTTTTATGCTTCCGTTATGTTTTCGGTTGGATAATGTGTTATGTCTTATCGTTTGTATTCCAAATAATTATTTGGACTGGTATATATTTTTGACATTTACCGAAATAGCAGATGCAATTTCCTTTGTCGACTCATTTATGCTTACTCTGTTTGCATTTATAACAATTGTTTTAATCCTTTGTTTGTCTATTTACGCTTTGACTTATGATATCAGTACATCAGTATCCTTCATTTAAAACAAAAAGTAGTTAAATACAGTAAATTTATTTAAAACGTCTGCATTTTACATGCATTGTTATATGTACCATTTATATTATAACTCACAATGATGAAAACAATAAAGAACACAAAACTGACTCAAATTTGTTCAATCAGAAAAACTATTTTTATTACTTTTTTTTCTCTAGAAAAAATATATAAGTTGATGTTTGTGTTCTCCGTTGATTACGGTTTTTTTCCTAAAGACGAAGTGACAAAGCTGTCAAAAGTGAGTGCGTGTGTGTGTATTTGTTTATATGATCTGAGTTGTTATAATTTGAGAAAAGGCTCGATTCAGTTTTCGATATTGTCACCAGATAAACCAATGAGTGGGTGAAACAACTTTCAGAATAACGTTTCGTTTTTTGTTTTGAGGGGCGACAGAGTGAGAAGTTTATTTTTATCATTAAACGTTTGTTCTGCTATATATTTGTAATTCTTTTTGTTTTTGTTTTTGAATATCATGTTTTGGGCATTAAAGACAACAACAGAGAGTGATTCCTTTAGTGTACAGTTTTAAAAAAAAACTAACCCTAACAGCACCACCTTGCATTGCTGCAATCTTTGTACCGCATATATAAATATCCGCCAGTTTTGTGTAGGAAACAGTCGTTTTTGATCCTCTACGTTCATTTTTTACTTCAATATTCCATGAACATTGAGAATATGGAAAAGCTTCTGAAGACCTCGACAAAGTGTATTTACATATTCCCTGGATATCAACCTTGGTTTCGCTATGCTGATAATAATGAACATCTCCAGATGCAGTACATCGACAACCTAAAATAGAATATTGAAAAACAATAATAAGATTCGAAGATATGATACAGTGTCAATAACCTGACATAAAATCATGATTTATAAAAATTCGAAGGGCTTCAATTACCCTGGAAAAATATGTAATACTATAAATAAATAATTTATTAAAGAAATACTTAGAAGTACCTTAATATTGTTTCATAGATTATTTTTAGAATTTTTATTTCAGCTTAATTACTACTTTTTGTTAGACATTTGCTTTAACAATAACTTGATCTGACATTTTAATAAACATTTGTCTCAACAACTCCGTTGATTAGACGAATATTGTTTAAGTCAAACCACACAATATCATACATTTAGGTTTTGACAAAATCCTTCTTTGAGTTATAAATTTCCCCGTAGCTTAGTAAAAGTCTAATCGGGATGAACAGACATTTTTTATATATATTCTCTTCTCGGATGCTTACATTAATAGGTAACAAAAGTCTGTAAAAAGGGTAATCAGCAATAAAAGTAGTCACGTTTTAATGACAAAAATATCAGAAAAAATGTTGACTCTTTAAAAATAAAATAAAATGTAAGGTTTTTGTTCGTTCACTTTAGAACTGGAACTTTTGACATTGTGAAGTACACAAAAACCAAATAGCATGCATATTAGCAATTACTATAATTAAGAAATGAATCAGATTTGAAATAAATTATACAAATATTTCACCTCAGGAACTACTACAAATGGCAGTATCACGTGAGATATCTTTTCCTCAAACTAATAGTTTCGTACCTGAACCACTTTGCTTTTTCTTTGCTTTCCTGGCTCTCCTTAATTTTCGTAATTTTCTTTTTTTATCTTTTCTATCTCGTCCAACTGAAAGAAAAACGTTAACATACTTATTGAGAAATACAGTAATCTATAACCACAAAACAGTTGCAGGGTCTGCAGATGTTGCAACATTCTACAGAGGCAAACGGTAAATGTAAAAGATTTATTTGCCATTGGCAAATAGTTCTACATGGTAATATATGTTATGTTAAAAAGAATTTTTTATACATGCAATGATTTTGTGATGTTTTATCAAGTGTCTGATTTTTTAAAAAGTAGATAATTTGATAAATAAATAATTAATTACCACATGCATATTCGACAGCTAGATATTTAGAGGTTTGTGGACAGGGATCACCAAAAGTGTTTTCTTTTGCTTGCAGTTTACACCTTTTGACTCCATTGCATTTCTTCTGAACAATCGACAATGCATTTTCAGCTGAACAACCTGTTGTTTGACTTCTTTTATCTTTGCAGATCTTTTCATCAGATCGACCATAAAATGCTTTTAAGATTTTAATTCGCCTTTTGCCTCTACACCGTACAATAGCTTTTTTGCCGCTACAGATAATTTTACGTCGGCCTGAAAAACAGATGTACAAAGGTAAAGTTCATGATCCTGCAAAGGAATGTGAAATGCAAACAAAATATACTAAAAATGCTTTTACAAATCTAATAAATATTAAAAGAGCAGATGACAGGAGAGCCAAGTGTTTATAACGGGCGCTATCACGAGTTGGTTTAGTGTTATGGAATATTTGTGTCACATATGACCACGTTTTTGTTCCAACCGTCGTAAAACAATTCCTGGCCTCTTTTCCTTGATGCTTAAACCACCGGATGAGCCTCATCACCAAATATGTGATTATCATGAGCAACATGACGTGTACAACTAGTTGAGCAAGATCTGCTTTAACTTACGGAGCTTCTGAGAACCCCTCAGTTTTTTTTTTTTTTTTTTTTTTTTTTTTTTTTTTTTTTTTTTTTTTTTTTTTTTTTGGTTCCTGTTGCTCAGTCATTAGATTTCTATGTAGTGTTTTATTAACGTGTTTATCTGTTTCATCGTCTTTCGTGAATAATGAATAATTACTGTAAAATCTTAGAAGGGATGAATCCAACTTTACCACTTGTTACACCTGGCTCCATTGCTTCCTAGTAATCCTTACCTTTTATAAAAGAAATCATGATAGGAAACACAAGTTCTGGCAAATCGTATCAACTGGGTGATCTATACACCATATGCAGGAGCTGCAGTTATGTTATTAAGTAGAAATGAAAAATTCACAATTGTATAGCTGAATTCGTCCCTTTTGTCGTAACGTTTTGTTCTTAACATGTCGTCATGGTAAATTGCTAGATGAAAGTCAAGATATAAAGCAGACTTAACTATAGCATACTTTTTCAAGTTCGATTGTATAGATGCGTTGAGGACAGTCACCAAACTTTGAATAGTGAGAGGACACCTTTAATACAGTGCATTTAAAGAATAATGCTAGCTCTTCTTTTATTTCTTCCTTAGAAGCTCCCTTATGAAAACTTTCTCGTGTGAATAAAGAGGAACAGGTCGGCAAAAAGAGGGCAACAGTCAATACAATCGGAAAACGGCAATTCGATAGAAGGAGCAGGATATTTTATTATTAGTTTGTATCATAATTTATATTTAAAGCCATAAACAAAAAGGTAAAATATCCTAGATTGCTGAATAAGTAGATTTTACAATAAAACGATATTTCAATGATATTTGTTTATCAAAAATATTTTAAAGAAACATCTGCGTGGAGAAATGGAAAAACTGGATATCGTCTTTTTCGTTGTTAATTTAAGGACATTTGTGTTTTTCTGTATTGAAACAGATATGTCCGAATCAGGCATCAGATAAAATTTTCTGTGCATGTGTTCTTTATTTATAGTCATTATACCACACATTGCTGTTTACATGATTGTCATGAACAAACGAACTGTAAAATTGAGAATGGAAATGGGGAATGTGTATGTTCTACAATAAACGCTGACATTGCATTGTTTACCTTTATTTCTTTTGTTTCCTTTCTGATTTTTTTGTCTGCAACAGAAAAAAGAATCCAAAAAAAACATTTCAGAAAACCTAATAAGACATTTGTTTAAATGAATAACTAGACATAACTGTATATAAATGTATAGTTTTATTCTAAATGTATTAACAAAAATACCAAAACTTAATAAAACCTGACAAATTTAACTCTCGACTATATCAACCTACGGAACGTTTGGAAGACAACTGTCATATTCCTGACTTGGTACATGCATTTTCGAAGAAAACGAAGGATTAAACCAGGTCTTATAGTTCTAACCCTTCCACGTGTATGACAGTGGTTCATAGATAAAGATAAAGTCACGTTTAGACTGTAGAAGTGTTTCTAAAGACGTTTATCGTGTTGCCCAAACTTTTTAGACTCCTAGTTTTCCTTCCTTATTTCTGCTAAGGTAACAGCTATATTGTCATAATTTTGGAGATCTAAACACATTAACTTTATGCTATATGTTTTCTCATTTTGCATGTGCTTATCTTTAACCACTACGGGTTTTTTTTCAATTTTATAAATTATTGTTTTATATTAAACGCAAATATTTGACACATATAATTACATATATGTATTTTAAATTTATTTTGTCTTTCAAATCATTTTTTAACAAACAACTGACTCTAACTGGTTTAAACAGGCATTTTCATAATTCAGGAAAATACGGCAGTGGTTGTAATTTTGTTTTTGTGTCCTTAAGGAAATCATATAAAATAGTTATTTTAAACTAAAGCACTACAAACCAGTAAAAGTCTGAAATGGCCTATATTTGTACTCGACTAAACTGATTTTTACTGAACCAGTCTGAATTGGTCTGAAATTTACTTGATATTACTCGACTGTAGTCTGAACCATACTAAACAGTCTGAACTTGTACTCGACAAGTACTTAACCATTTTATATGAGTCTGAACCATACTCGACATAGTCTTAACCATTCTCGACCAAGTCTGAACCATGCTTGACCTAGTCTGAACCATACTCGACCAAGTGTTAAACAACCTAGACCTATTTATTGTATCTATCTATTGTATTTTATCAATTTAGGAACTGATATACATACATATATATATATATATAAAATGTATATCACCTTTAAAATTAAAATAAAACAAGGTGATCAAATTTCTGGTTGGATTAAAAAAATATCATGTAATAAATTAAGTTCCTTAAATGAATTTTTATATACATGAGATCATGTTCACATTGATTTATGCACATCAAAAATACTAGAACTTTCAACCATTATTCAAATATCTCAAATGTTATTCAAATTTTTTTTTATCAAAATATATATAAAATAGTATATAAAGCAACTTAATACATGTTAAAATTGACACCTTTGTTTTGTAAAACCAAAAATTTAATTTAATAATAATTATAAATCTTTCATAGCAATCCTTGATAACCTTTTAAAAAAGGAAATATATTCCAAAAAAATTCATAATTTATTGCAAAAAGTAAATATAGAAAAAGCTATCACATTGAAAGATATTGTTTTTGGCTATAAAATATCTGATAAATATTATTTTGGCTTTAACTATCTTATTACTATAATTGGGTTTTCAATTTATAAATCCTACTATGTATCTGATCAGAAAATGAAAAGACTTGATGTTTTTTGTCTATTCATTAGAGAATTTACAAAACGAATGTATTATTCAAAAAAGTTAGAAGAAGTTAAATTTTTAGTTAATGTTAAGAAACATTTATTAGATTGATGTTTTATTTATTAATATAATAGAATTGAAAATTATATTTATTCTTCACAAGAAGCTTGGACTTGTTGAAGACAATGTAACAAGCAACTGATGGAAATAAAGAAATTTTAAAAAGAAAAAAAAAAAGAAAAAAAGGAAATATATTCCAAAGTTGCAGTAGAAATTTATTTTAATTAAATTCTAATACGTTTTGCCAAAATTAAAGACATGGCATACAAGAAGCACTTTAATAAGGTTTAATGGTTTAATTACCTCAGTACAGGTGTGTTTTACAGGTAAAAAGAAACCCATATTTTCTTAAACTCATGTATTACTTATCTAGTGAATTCAAAAGGCCTTGTTATAAAAGTTTTACAGGATGTTGTAATTTTCAATGGATGTTATTTAAAATTTGTTACTCTCTGACCAGGTGTGCTCTTTTTAATCAGTGTGCCCCTAGCAGGATGTATTACTTTTATAGTTAACCCCTAATCAGAAGAAAAAATTTATTCATTTCTTTAATTTTTTATCCCTTTTTAAAATATATATATATCCCAAATTATAAATAGAATAGATATATTTCTGATATAAGGTTAAACAATGTCAGTGATTTTGTTGGCTGTTGTTACCTCATTTAAAAGATAGTTATATAACTATTGTATGTAACCATGAAACCTAAGTACAGAAAGTCACAGGACAGAAAGTCACAAATTTGATAGGACAAAAAGTCACAAATAATTTGTATACAATTGTTTGAATATTTATTAGAAAGATCTTGAAATGTTTACTATTTATTACACATATTCATTTTACAGTTTAGGAAATTGTTTATAAGGCTTGATAAATAAAGATTTATAAAATTTTAATCATGCAAAGGATATATTTCTTGGCACCATGAGAACATTTAAGTACCAAGACACTGTAACATTTTTTTTTCTTAACAATTATTTGATCATTATTGATATTGTTTCAAGAAAAATAAAAAATGTTTTTAAAAAATAAGTGTTTTATTGTCCAAAGAAAAATAATCTCAAAACTGAATTGTGACTTTTTGTCCTGTGACTTTCTGTCCTACATTCGTTTTTATTGAGGAATTTAGGAAAATCAAGTTTTGTTTAAAAAAAAACTCATGCCAAACAAAAAGCACCTTATTTTTAATAAGGTTTTATTACCCTCAGTATTGGTGTGGGTTTCAGGTAAAAATAAGTCTTTTTATATTTAACAAGACTCAGACTTTAAATATGGATAATTTAACTATCTCGATTTGACAAATCTAAGAGAATCATGTTTTATTAAAGGATGTAAAAATCTGTTTTTATATATATCTTATTTAATTGTAGCTGTTGTCATGTCAGTTAAAAAGAAAGTTATTTTAACAATCAAAATTATAAAGAAGAGGTTATTTGGTCAAGTATGGTTCAGACTGGTCGAGTATTGTTCAGACCTTTGGTCGAGTATGGTTCAGACTGAAAAAATAGGTCGAGAGCTGGTCAAGTATTGGTCGAGTACAGGTCAAGACTTGGTTAAGACTGTTTCAGACTGGTCGAGTAATAGTTTAGACTATTTTCAATAGCAAATATAAGGGTCAAGTACAAATCAGTACAGTCGAGAATGGTTAAGACTTGGTCGAGTAATATTAAGTAAAATTCAGACCAATTCAGACTGGTCGAGTAAAAATCAGTACAGTCGAGTACAGATAGAGGCCATTTCAGACTTTTACTGGTTTGTAGTGAAGTCACACTTGACAACTCAGGGTATACTAACTGGGATATTTAATCATAGCTAATATTCTTTTGGTATAATTTCATTCGGAATGTACAAGACGGAATAACTTTTAGTAAATGACACAACTTATTTATAAAATTCCACATAAACTAACAGACGACTTGCAACAATAGCGTCATGAGGAGGCTTTCTAAATCCTCAAAATGTTCCCAGTAAAGAATATCTCAACAAAATGGATTTCTTTGGGGGAGGGGGCGGTAAACCTGAAAACTTTGATAATAATGATACTTTTGTTGAATCTTTTTACCGAATTTTACTGGATAATTTTCACTGAATCGGTCTAGCTTTTCGCATTTATAAAAATAAGCAATACATATATCATGTTTTTAGAATCATGCGATGATTTGTAAAATTCTGTTTCAAACTATGAGAAATCTAAATAAATTTCACGTTTAAAATACATTGAAGAATTTTTTAATCATTTTTTTTTGTGCACAGTTTAGAGAGGTGTACATATGAATCAAAAACATTTAAAAAATATTTATGAACAAATTACATGTCGGCAATTGTATAAACAAAAATTCTAAACTTTTTAGACTTTATAAACTTGATAAAACTGTATATAGCGGAAAAGCTGATTATTTACCCAGTAGTGAATTTATTGAACATTTAAAAAATAACCCAGTATGGTCATTTGATTGATTGATTGATAGATTGGTGTTTAACGCCACCTTCTACACTATTGTACTGTTTCGAGGCAAACAGTTTTTATTTATGGAGGGAGCCGAAGTGCCCCGAGAGGACCAGCGACCTTCGGTAGGAAAACTGACAATCCTAATCAATTAAGATTGGAGTCGAGCGCACCTGCCATGTGCATGATTTGAAACCACAATCTCAGTGTTGACAAGCTAGTGATACAGTATTTCGACTACTTAGACCACTCGGCCACCGAGGCCCCTTGGTCATTTGAAGACAAAAATACAACATGCTTCAAATAAACATTTTAAAGATCTTTGATGATGTATTGGATGATTTTGCAGAACACCACCGTATTCATGATTTGAATTGATAAATGATTTTAGTGACCTATACAATATCTTATTAAATCCAAAGATATTCTTGTTAATGCTGTATTTATGAATACACAACTACGTTTTCCATGAATTTAATATATTATAAAATATAAAAACGAACAAGAGTTTCGTTCATCCATTTTTACGTAAACCCTTGTTTATAGCCATTTCGATTAAACAATTTTATCGGCTATTTCATATAATGTTTATTTGAACAAACTTGGCTTTTGATAGTCCTTTTGATTCTGTTGACAGTTTTGACTTTTCTACTCTTTACACTACACTTCCACACAATCTTATCAATCAAAAAATTGACTATTTAATTAAATGGTCGTTTGGTAAATCTGAATGCAAATATATTTGCTGCAACTCATTTAAAGCTCACTTCTCTAATGAGAAAGGTAAATATGCTAGATGTACTTACTAGAGGTGTGATGAGATGATTGAAGCTGTTAATTTTCTCCTTGCTAATATTTATGTACGTTTCGGCAGCAAAGTTTATCGACAGGTTGTAGGTATTACTATGGGCACTAATTGCGCCCCTTTAATAGCAGACTTGTTTTTGTAATGTTATGAATCACAGTTTATGACCAAACTCAGTAAAGACCCGTCTAAATTGCATTTAATTGATAAATTCAACAACACTTACCCTAATCTTGATGATTTTTTTTCGTTAAATAATCAAGAGTTTTCTCAATATACTGCCGAAATTTACCCAAAGGAACTTACTTTAAATAAATTAAATTTAAACGGTAACAACTATCCTTTCCTAGATTTAGATATTTCGGTTTTACACGGGAAACTCCACACTAAAATTTACGACAAAAGGGACGATTTTTTGTTCCCAATTGTTAATTTTCATTTTTTGGATTGGGATGTTCCTTTTTCACAATCTTACGGTGTTTATATTTCACAACTCGTTCGCTATGCCCGTGTCTGTTGTGACGTTTTTGATTTTAACGAACGTAATCTATGTATTACTGGTAAATTATCAAGCCAGGGATTTCGTTACCACAAATTACTTAAAACCTTTACTAAATTTTTCCACAGATATAAAGATATGGTTTTGAAGTTTGGTTGTACTTATTTCAAACGGGATTGCACATCCTCAATTTTACCACAATATTGTTTACCGTGCCCGGAAATTTAGAAACGATCCTGGTAAACTTATCGATCCTTTAAATAAACTTATTCTAAAAGGTTACCAATTCAACACTGTAATTAGATCATTAAATATTGTTTTTATTGGTACTGATATTGATTTTGCTATCAGTAAATTAAAAGCAAACTAAATATTATTGTTATATACATATACACATTCATGGATCTACAATCTGTCGATACCTGTATCTTGGCATTGCACAAGGTCATGTTTTTCTCTGACTGTTTATGACGTCTTTACATAAACCCATTGGATGCTGGATGTGTACGGATTGATAATTTAGTCTTAGATGCATGATTTTTTTTATTAGTTGTTAGTGGCTTTGAACTAGCTGTCAGTAACTACGAGTACTCTCAGATCTGTACTTAGTGTCTTTTTGTTGTTTGGATGTACCCGGCCGCGTCCACTTGTATTTGTAGTATTTGTATTTTTATCCATCTGATGAGTTAAGCCTCTTTCAACTGATTTTTATAGTTCGTTCTTATGTTGTACTGTTACACCACTGTTCCAGGTTAGGGGGGATTGGGATCCCGCTAACATGTTTAACCCCGCCACATTCTGTATGTATGTGCCTGTCCCAAGCCAGGAGCCTGTGATTAAGTGGCTGTCGTTTGTTTATGTGTTACATATTTGTTTTTCGTTCATTTTCTGTACATAAATTAGGCCGTTAGTTTTCTCGTTTGAATTGTTTTACATTGTCATTTCGGGGCCTTTTATAGCTGACTGTGCGGTATGGGCTTTGCTCATTGTTGAAGGCCGTACGTTGACCTATAGTTGTTAATTTCTGTGTCATTTTGTATATTGCGGAGAGTTGTCTCATTGGCAATCATACGACACCTTCTTTTTTATATTGGACACATAGCGGGGTAAAAATAGTTTTCGAGATTCAAAACTCATTAATTGTAACCAAATTTCCTTACCTTTTTTGAGACTTTCCTTCTTTTTGTTTGTTTCTTCCCTTCTTTTCCTGAGAATCAATAATGACAACCTCTAATATTAGTTAAACAGTTAAAATGATTACGTGTTTGTACATAGGGCAAAACGTTTGATGAAGAAACACATATACAGTTTACTATTATACATTATGTAGATGGTTTATTTAATTCCGTTTTCTATGGTTCTTCTCAGCCTAAAATCATCAATTATCATCATCAATCATATGATTGTCAAACATCACGTAAAACAGACTTTAATTGACCTAATTAATCGATCAATTGGCCAATCTATTGAATACGCAACATAGTCATCAATAAGCGAACAATCAATTAATTGATCTATGCAATTAACATTGTTGTGTAGAAATTCTAGATAAAAAAATATCTTCCTTCTAAACTGCCAGCTCAAATGTTTGACATGTTTCCGCATGGACGCTATAAGGAAACGTTCTAGTAATTCGGTCATAAAACGATACTCAGTACTCTTAGTACAACATTTTCGCTCGAAACACCAAATTTGATTTTTGATTTGTTGATTTTTGAATCTGAGACTGAGTATGATAATCGTACTCACAAGTTTTAAAACCCCAAGCACTGACTTTCTCAATAATATAAAAATAGGAATAAAAACTAAATTATCATCTATTATTACATATTCTGCAAAACATAACAAACCAGAGGGTTATCATGTTAAAGAAGTATAATAATATGGATATAATTAACTTAGCATAAGTAAATCAATTTTGAACTGATCTGAAAACATCTTAAAAGCCTGAAAAATAAATTATGATCTCATGTTCAGTCTTTCAATCATTTAAAAAAAATGTATCAACTGCAGTAAATTCAGTACTGTTCATACAATTCGCTTGCAGTAAAATTAAGATCTGTTCAGTAGTCGTTACTTACCTGTACAAGTCAACAACATACTGAATAGTCTGAAAGCTACTGAATAGAACTGGATTGTATGAGAACAAAACGTCTGAACAATAATGAAAAGACAGCAAGTAAATATATGAAAATTAACATAAACTCTTAAAAAAACTGAACGTTTTTAGGTTCAGACTTTTCGGAAGATGTTTAGACGGCCGTTTAAAAATAAAATACATTTAATAGTGTTCGCTGTAATATAGTATTCCAAACAAACCCATTATGTATCATTATACCTGTTCAAAATCAAATAGCGTATATTAAGTTTATAATATTATTCGTGCTATGCGGTGCGAATCGTCTACACCGTCTTTTAAATAATAGATTGAAAGTTTTTTGGTTTCTTCAGGTATTATTTAATCATAATGATAAATTATTAACAGATATATTAATTCAAACAAAAAATCAGTAGCTTATGACCCATATATCGACAAATTTGCCATCCACAATTACATTTGTTTTCCACACTGAACTTATGAGATAACTGTATTGTATTTTAAGCTTGGCCTTCGTAAAACGTAGGTAAACGGATATTTGCGACAGTAAAATCAAGTTTTACGAAGGCCAAGATTAAAATACAATACAGTTATCTCCATTCTAATGGCACATACTAAAATAAATTCCATTTGATAAATATTTTGGCTTAAAAATGCCATAAATGAAAAAGTCCACGAAACTGTAGCATGGTCTTTGGTATCTAAACAATGTGACATCATATGTATACTCCCGGTGTCAAACATAAACACTAGACGTATTTATACTTTTCTTACAATTCTGAATGGATTTAATTTCGACAGAATGAAAATTTTGAGGCACAAAATGGGACTCTTTGTTTATTTTTTGAGAAATTACATATAAAAAAAAATTGGAATTCAAAATGGTGGCTTTCTTAGTTACGGACTGGTAGAACGTGGAATCTAACCCGTCAAAATATTTGTTAACGTCCAATGAAAATGATCGTTACAAACGAATTGCATTAGAATTGTTCATTCATATGCTTGACTTGCTGTTTATGGTACAGTAATACGTTTATTAAGTGAATCTCTTAAAAGACAAGAAGAGAATACATATAAGGGCGACTTATTCACGTAAAAATGAACACTTTTGAAATTTAGATATCTACTAAGCAAAATCATATGAACGTTATTATGGACATTTTATGAAAAGAACAATAAGGAAGACCGTACGAATATGAATAATAACGGGACCATTATTAGCTAACAACTGTTCTGATGCATTTCAAATCTTGAAATTATTATAATAATCGTATTTCTTATTCAAATTTACTAAATATAACATTTAAAAGGCTTGTCCCTCAACAGCTATCTTTTCATTTCACTTTGTTTTCTTTATTTTTTACAGTTTTGAATCCTTTTTCTTTCATTCGTTTAAAAATTATGCCCATTAACCTAAGTATGAAACAGTGCCATTTTTTTCCTATCTAAGTAGCCTTTCGATCTGCCACCTCATATGCAAAGCCTAATGATGAGTCCCATTTCATATATTAGCCTTTTTAACCAAAGTAAAAGGGACGCCATACAGACGCGTTATCTATTTATTGCATTTTTGGTATCATATGATTACCAAATATTTTCGTTAACATTCTGATAATTTAGTGTATGACTTTTTATATCTTGCATTAAATTCAAATTTAAATATTCGATCAGCTTTTATTTTACTTAAATCCTTTAAGTTTAAGTTCATCTTTAGGAGTCTAGGCATGATGAAATCAAATACCAAACGCATAAACTACTAACGCCTTTCATGACAAATGCTCATTTTCTTTACAGTGTAAATTGGATGAAACTCACGAGGCTAAACAGACGCTAAATTTATTCATAGCCAAGAAGTCAATGATTGGGTACTGACAATATTTTCTATTGTTTCATATAAAAAAATTGGGCAACCGTTTAATGGCTACATGTACCTTGGAAATCCAATTGGTACCAAGTTATTTAAGCAATGATAATTATAAAGTATATTAATTCAAGCCCTCTGAATTATGAACACTTTGTTGACTCACGTTTTTCTTTTTTCCTTTATCTTCACCTCGACTTGGTTTTGACTGGAATTCCTAAATTAATAAAGAAGTAATATCAGCTAAATTTTGGAATTATGTCCGATGTGATTTCTATAGAAATAACAAACCGCCTTAAGGATAATCGATACTATTTTAGAATTGTTGATATTTTTTGAGAAATGTTGTAGGGCAAGATGAAATCTTTGAAAAATCATACAAAAATATCTTTCAAATTTTCTAAATTTTGTATTTCTGTAAATTAGAGTGCATACAAATGTTTGTAACATTTAAAAAAAAAAAAAAAACACCATTCCAGCTATGTTGCTTCACTTTTTCTGAATGTAAAGTGTAATAAAATGTCTTCAATATTATTTGAATCGATTAACTTCCATATTTTGCAAGCAGTTTTCTATAAAAATCAAAAACGCCCATCATCGACAAAAATTCTAAACAACAAAACAAATATCCATTACAATATATCATACATAACACATCCACTGACCACTGACAAGGTTCCTGAATTAGGACATTCATATAAACATGTAGCAGGGTTAAAACATTGATTTATTTTTTTTAGATCACCCTGTCTGTTTTTTTATCTCCATCCGTGGACTTAAAAGGGTTAATAAAACCTTATTCAATAATATCAATACAGGAACGGTACTAACCGCTTTAAAACGGTATAATAACATGACGCGAGAACAAACAAAACAATAACGCCTTACAGAAGGATTGAAGGTACCTTAAAGAAGATCGCTGCAAATGCTAAACCTTACTTAGTCGTCTTTCACTCTATCAGTGACTACATGTAACACTAGTTTTAAGCTGCAAAGCCACAAGCAATACAGCAAGGTACGATTCTATACAATGCCCCGAACAAACCTGAACAGAATTTGAATGCAGAAAAACAAACGGACCACTCAATCTTTTGATTTTGCTTTAAACTAAAAGAGGTGAATTGATGTTCGTCAAAAAATATAGTACGCAATTAGAAAAATAACAACATCTTGGAATCACGTTAGTGTTATCTTTTGTTATCAATCAATATGTGATTAAATATCTTATTTTGGGAATTTGGTGTTGATAACAGATCTTTGAATCTATGTACAACATTTTAAGACTTGTAATGTCTTCTACATGTCTTTTGGTCATTTTTGTCTTTGGAGTGATGTCTAATTGACGCAAACCTAACCTCTCTTTTTATTCGTATTCAACGACTTAAACGTTTAGGATTTATTATGTTTTGCCTTGTTGTTGTTGTCTAATCTTATTATTTGTTAATATTTATTGATTTATTGATTTATTGATTTTCAAAACTAAGTTGTTTTTTTTTGGTTTCTTCTTTCTTTAGCTCATCAGTTCTAGTTCACAATGAAGGAGATATGTAACTTTAAAACATAACTAAATAAATATATGGAATATATGTTATGCATATCAGGACGAGAGCATTTAAAGTCATATGAAAATGAACGCTGCTTAATACAAGATTGACCTTCTGATTCGGATTGTTTCGAAAAAGGAAACGTTAAAGTAATCTTTCATACGTTGATACACACTTTACAAAAAAATGTAAACAAAGTTTTTAAAAGTGCATGTCTCTCTCTTCCAAATTTTCAATTTTTTTTTAAAATAATTTACTAAGCTCAACCAATTGTCCTTTTTGAAAGAGAAGAAGACCCTAGAATAAAGATTTCAAAACAATGGATTGATTAATGTTTTTAAGAGGATTTACTTCTGTGAAAAAAAAAGATTGTTTATTCGCAAACGCTGCATGTAACCGTGACATTTGGGTTTTCAAAAAAAAAACCATACTTCGTGCTTCGGAAATTTGACCACCTATTTAAAAATGTATGAGTTTTGAACTAAGCAATCATCCACAGGAGAATTGAAGAAAAGGCAACATTCATCGCTACCTGAAATGAAAAGCGAATAGTGACCATATTGCAACGTCCCTTATACGTGCAATCGACCTTGAATCTATATGACTTTTGTCATATCATTGCAAATGATACTCAAAAAGGACTAAAAGCTTACTTATGTTAAATTACTCACTCTAACATCTTGGTTCTTTCTGATTTTATTCCCGCGTTTCTTGTTCTACAATACAACATAAAAGTTTATGAAACAACAATTTTATAGCAGATAGTATCATATCTCCAATTAAAACATAATGATGACAACCCGTTATAAAAGAGGGACGAAAGATACCAGAGGGACAGTCAAACTCATAGATCGAAAACAAACTGACAACGCCATGGCCAAAAATAAAAAGACAAACAGACAAATAATAGTACAGATGACACAACATATAAAACTAAAGACTAAGCAACACGAACCCCACCAAAAACTGGGGGTGATCTCAGGTGCTCCAGAAGGGTAGGCAGATCCTGCTCCACATGTGGCACCCGTCGTGTTGCTTATGTTATTACAAATCCGGTAAGTAGTCTAATTCGGTAGGTCACATTCGTGAAAAGGGAATGGTATTGTAGTTACGACATAAGGAACATATCCGATATCATCTGTGAAACGGTTATTCCATAACGGTCAACCAACTCGTGATGGCGTCCGTAAAATTTACGAAGGGATGATTTCAACTTCACCATTTGGAACTCTTGGTTTAATAGCTTCCTTGTGAGCAGCAATCCTCTATCAAGGAAATCATGATAGGAAATACAAGCCCGGGAATATCGTATCGATTAGGACATATATACTCCGTATGCAGGCGCTACTGGAATGTTGCTACATAGAAATGGAAAGTTCACAATTGGGAAGCTGAAATCATCTCTTTTGTCGTAAAGTTTTGTTTTCAACTGACCCTCATTGTCAATTTCTAGATGTAAGTCAAGATATGAGGCAGACTTAACGGTATCTGTAGTATCCTTTATCTCTAGTTCGATGTGATAGATTCGTTCAACAAAGTCTCCAAATTTTGTATTATTTAGTGAGAGAACATCATCTATATAGCGGAACGTAAAGTTAAAGGATATTGCTAACTTCTTATCTTTCTTCCTATATGAAGTCGTCAGCCTCAAAATAATAAAGAAACAAGTCGGTAAAAAGAGGGGCACAATTGGTTTCCATTGGAATTCCGACAGTCTGTTGAAAAACACGTCCTCCAAACGAAACAAATATGTTGTCAATCAAGAAATCAAGCATCTTGATAATGTCAGTTTCAGAGAATTTTTTGTTTGAATCAGAGTTATTCTTTACAAAGTAGGATTTATCCCTCCCCAAGACAAGATACTTGTATGTACGTTCGCACTTGTACGCACCAAAGCGCTATGTATTGAATAAAATTTAACCGCAATTTTTAACAGTGGAAACAATTTTAAGCAAGCTCTAATCAAGAAAAGATATCAAATCAAAACCCTTTACTCATTCGAAATTTTCATATTACTTTTAATTTAGCAATACTTAAGTGTTATTATTGTAATGCAGTGTACAACCGAGGTTCAGAGACTGACAATTCGGTCAATATCTTTTACCCGCCTAAATGTGAGAATCACAGTTATAATGTTTATGGAGAAAACATCTGTTCAATATTATTTGACATTATGCTATTTTAAATAATTGACTAAGCTTAACCAAAAAGAAGACCGTAGAATAAAGATATAAACATTGTGGATCAATTAAATTATTTTAAAGAACTGAATTTCCCAAAGATTTAATTGTTTGAAAATAGAGATTGTTTTCTTGTTGATGCTGCATGACACGTGGTGATTCGGGGTTTCGAAAAAGTAATCACGCTTCCTACCCGGAAATATAAGCATATATCTGAAAATATAAGCTTTGAAACAAGCAATCAGGCACAAAGAATTGATAAAGGCACTTTTCTCACCAAAATAGCATCGTCTGCCTGAAATGAATAGCGCATACTCACCATATTGCAACTTCCCTTATACTTGTATTCGTCTTTGAAGATGACTTTGATCATAGTATTATTGTCAGTAATACTCAATTCATATTTGTATTTGAACGATTTGTACTTGCTATTTTGCTATTTTCAAACAATTTTAATCATAAACTATGGTAGTCGTAAATAGTCGCTAGGATTTATATTTTTACTTGTATGGACCAAATTCTTATTTTATGTTAAATAATATAAATACTCACTATTTCAGCTTGGTTCTTTTTATTTTTATTCTTTCCATTTTGTCTCTACAATACAACACAAAAGTCTATGAAACAACAATTTTTTAGCACAAAAAATGACCCTGACTTAACAAATGTAAAAAATTCAAACGAGAAAGTCTGATCATATTGCAACTTACCTTATACTTGTATTCGACCTTAAAGATGAGGTCATCATATTTTATCATATTATTATTGTCAGTAATAGTTAATTCATACTTGTAATTGAACGATTTGTAATTGCTATTTTACTATTTTCAAACAATTTTAATCATAAACTATGGTAGTCGGAAATAGTCGCTAGGAATTATATTCTTACTCGTGGACTAAAATCTTATTTAACGTTAAATAATATAATCACTCACTATTTCAGCTTTTTTCTTTTTGTTTATATTCTTTTGATTTTGTCTCTACAATGCAACACAAAAAACTTTGAAACAATAATTTTACAGCAAAAACAAAAAAACAAACCCCGACTTGACAAATGTAAAAACTTCAAACGAGAAAGTCCGCTGCCTATTTTTTATCAGGCATAGAAATGCGATTTAGACCATCGCAATACTTTATCCGATCATTTTTTTTTCACGATGAGGAAACTTAGCTTCCACAGTTATATTAGATAAAAAGACAGATAAAGTCAGGAACATTCTTTTCCATTGCAGTCTGCAAACTCCACCCTCATAATAGGACACTTAACATTATTATTTCTATTCTACATTGTGCTACTTCATATTTTCGACCTAAGATTAATTTTACTTCGGTAAAATACAAAGTAAATGTATACTGTTATAAGTAACAAAGGCACTAAATCTATTCAAACACAAGTATGAATGTCATACTAACTAAAACAACATGCAAGTTGAAATCTTGATTAATAGAGTAGGGCCATAAATATGTCTTTAGCATGTATATTGTATTGTGGTAATCCGTTTCCGTTGGGGAAAATGTATGCTTATCTTGCTAATGACATTACTACAGACGTTGTGAACAATCGTAATATCGATTAGTTCCAACAACTAATAGTTTTGGTCCTTTCTGAGCCCTCAATTGAACCCGGTTAGAAAGGTAAATGCTATGCTGTAATGAAAATAACCAACGAAAGAAACCTTTCCACTTGATATTTCTATATCGTTATCTGTTTTCTCTCTCTTAAGTATTAATGTCATGATAACAAAAACAACATGCAAGTTGAAATCTTGATTTATAGAGTAAGGACATATAAATATGATTGGCATGTATATTGTAATGTGCTAATCCATTTCCATCATTTGGGGTAAAAGGTATGCTTATCTTGCTATTTACCTCACTACAGAAGTTTTTAACGATCGCCATATAGATTAGTTCTAACTACTTGTAGTTTTGTTCAAATGTTTAGTATATCCTTTCTGAGCCTCTAATTCAACCCAGTTGTCTAGGTAAATGCTATATGTGAAACGAAAATAGTGACGGAAGAAGCTTTTCCACTTGATATTGCTATATCGTTATCTTTTGTTCTCTCTTTCTCCCGTAGCCATCTGATTGCCATTTAATATATATGTAAATAACATACATACTATGCTGTAAATACAATGATTTGACAAAATCGTCAGACTTTCATTAACTACATTTTAGCAGTGCAATCACTTGAACTTCATTTTCTTTTACTATACCTCAATTTGTGGACTGTTAATCCTAGAGGGTATCATTAGCCCAGAAGTCAATGATTCAGTACTGACATGATTTATATCTTACTTTTCCTAAATTCCCTATTGATTAAATATTGAAAAAAATGAAAAGCTAAGATTCTGGAGACCCCTCTAGGGAGAGATGATCTTATGTGAATTTGGTTATTTTTTACAATCTTTCTTTTGATCATATAGGTTTGGAGCGTTCCTGGTAATAGAAAATAGAGAAAAGTGCTTTGACACACTAAATATATATTATAATGCTCATCAATCTCTTGCGTTTTTTCTACCGTTTCAAATATAAAAATTGAGCAACCCCTCTATTTTTGAAATCCAATCGGTACCAAGTAATTCACGAAATTTAAGCAAGAACAATTATAAAGTAAATAATTAAAGCCCACTAAATTATGAACTCTTTGTTGACTCACATTTTTCTTTGTTCCTCTATCAACACTTTGACTTTGTTTTGACTGAAATTCCTAGATTAATAGATATAAAAAATAATTTCAGCTAAATTCTGGAATCATGTCCGATGTGATTTCTATAGAAATAGAGATAACCGATGCTACTTTAATTATGTTTATCATTTTTGTGAAATGTTGTAGGGCGAGATGAGTTCTGTCAAAAATCATACAAATATATCTATGAAATAAGGGTCACTGTTTAAAGAAATAAAGCAACGTTGGAATTTTCTGGCAACTTTAAAATTTTCTAAATGGCAATTAAAAAAACCAAAGTGCATACTAATGTTTGTGACATTTTAGCTGTGTTGCTTTACAGTTTTCTGAATGTAAAGTGTGGTAAGATGCCATCAATATTATTTGAATTGATTAACGTCAATATTGCGCAAGCATTTTTCTATAAAAATTAAAAAAAACAAAAAAACACTTAACATCCACAAATTTTTTAATAACAAAAAAATATTATTCATTACAATAATGTCATAACATATCCCCTGACCCCATGAGGTTTTTGACTTAACACATTCATTGGACATAAAGCAGGGTTAAACAGATTTATTGTTTTAGATCCATCCGTGGTAAAGGTAAAAAGGTAAATAAAACATAATTCAATAATATCAATATAGGAACAGTACTTAACGTTATAATAACGGTAAAATAACATGACACGAGCACATACAAAACAATAACGCATTACAGTAGGATTGAAGATCGCTTCTAATACTAAACCTTACTTAGCCGTCTTTTATCCTAATAACAGTGACTGCATGTAACAATAGTTTCAAGTAGGAAAGCCAAAAGCAATACACGACGGCACGATTTTGTACAATGCCCAGTATAAACCCGTACAGATTTAGAATGCAGAAAAATAAACGGAACACTCATTCTTTTAAATTTGCTTCAAACTAAAGTAGATGAATTAATGTTCATCAAAACAATATAACACGCAATTAGAAAATACAGCATCTTGGAACCACGCCAGTGTTATCTTTTGTTGTCTTTCAATATTTAATTAAGTGTTTGTCATTATTTTTGGGACTTTGGTGTTGATGACAAATCTTTAATAGCATCATTTTAATTTATGTACACCATTTTAAAAATTGTGATAGTTGAGAGCTTGATATATTGTACATACATATATATATTATTGAAGATTGTGTGTTGTCTTTTGGTCATTTCTGTCTTGGAAATGGTGCCTCATTGACGTTAACCTCACCTCTCTTTTCATTCGTATTCAACGACTTAATATTTTAGGATTTATTAAGTTTTAGGTAAGTTGCCTTGTTGTTGTTGTCTAATCCTACTTTTTTTAATATCTATTGATTTATTAATTTATTTTTTTTCGGATGTAGTTCACAATGAATAAGATATGTAAAATTCAAGCATAACTAAATAAATGAATAATATATATATTGGTTCAAATAAGCCTAGTTTGCAGTTAAGATTTAATCATGAATGGTTCAAATTGTAAAAAAAAATATTGTTATTTCTTGAAACTTTTACCAGTCATTTCTGTTAGTTCTAAGTAAACAAGCCGCAAATACTCGTTTAATCCAACTAATTGCTGGCCATATCCTAATGTTGAAAAAATTAATCTCTGTGTCGGAATGTCGGAACATAGTAATTTAAACATAATGATAACAATACGTTATAAATTTGGTGCGTCCTAGCCGCTATGTATTGAATAAGATTTAACCACATTCTATTTGAAAAATAGAAACTATTTTAAGCATGCTCTAATCAAGAAAAGATATCAAATCAAAACCCTTTACTCATTCGAAATTTTCATATTACTTTAGATTTAGCAATACTTAAGTGTTATTATTGTAATGCAGTGTACAACCGAGGTTCAGAGACTGACAATTCGGTCAATATCTTTTACCCGCCTAAATGTGAGAATCACAGTTATGATATTTATGTAAAAAACATTTTAATAATATTGATAACACTATGTACCCGAAAATGTAAGCATATATCTGAAAATGTCAGCTTCGAAACGAGCAATCAAACACAAGGAAGTAATAAAGGCATTTTTCTCACTCAACAAACATCGCCTGCCTGAAATGAATAGCGCATACTGACCATATTGCAACTTACATCATACCTGCATTCGTTCTTGAAGCTGTATGACTTTTATTATATTATGATTGTCAGTAAAACTTGATTGTTGAAGCTGTATGACTTTTATCATATTATGATTGTCAGTAAAACTTGATTGATGCTTGTAGCTATACATATATATATATATATAATATATAGTTGAACGATTTGCACTTGCTATTTCGCTATTTTCAAACAAATTTAATCATATACTGCGGTAGTCGTAAATAGTCGCTAGGAATGATATTTTTTAATTGTGAACTAAAATCTTATTTCATGTTAAATAAAAGAATTACTCACTATTTCATTTTGTTTCTTTTTATTTTTATTCTTTAGATTTTTTCTCTACAATATAACACAAAAGTCAATGAAACAACAATTTTAGTTACAGATAAAAATGACCCCGACTTGACAATTGGAGTGTCATAATAGGACACTTAACATTATTATTTCTATTCTACATCGTGCTACTCTACATTTTCGACATAACAAATTATTAAACTCCGGTTAAATACAAAGTAAATGTAAGCTGTTATATGTAATAAATGCACTAAATCTATTTCAAACACAAGTATGAATGTCATACTAACGAAAAATAACATGCAAGTTGAAATATTGATTACTAGAGTAAGGCCATATAAATGTCTATTGTGTATATTGTATTGTGGTAATCCGTTTGCGTTGGGATAAAATGTATGCTAATCCTGCTAATGACATCACTACAGAAGTTGTGAACGATCGTAATATCGATTAGTTCCAACTACTAGTAGTTTTGGTCCTTTCTGAGCCCTCAATTGAACCCGGTGAAAAAGGAATATGGTATGCTGTATTGAAAATAACTAACGAATGAAGCCTTGCAACCACACGAACTTCATTTTCCGGCACTATGCCTCTACTTGCGGACTGTTATTCCAAGAGAGTATCATTAGCTCAGAAGCCAATGATTCGGTACTGACACTTTCAATAAACTTCCCTAGGCAAAGGTGAACTAATGTTAATTTTGTTTCTCCTACAATGTTTCTTTTTGGTCATATGGCTACATTGTATTTTTGGTTTTGAGCGTTCCTGGTGATAAAAAATCAAAAAAAGCGCTTTGGATGCAATAAATATATATTATGATTCTCATCAATCTCTTGAGTTTTTCCTGCCATTTCAAATATAAAAATTGATCAACATACTATGCTGTAAATACAATGATTTGACAAAATCGTCAGACTTTCATTAACTAAATTTTAGCAGTGCAATCACTTGAACTTCATTTTCTTTTACTATACCGTAATTTGTGGACTGTTAGTCCTAGAGGGTATCATTAGCCGAGAAGTCAATGATTCGATACTGACATGATTAATATCATACTTTTCTTAAAATTCTCTATTGATTAAATTTTGAAAAAATGAAAAGCTAAGATTCTGGAAACCTCCCTTAGGAGAGATGATCTTATGTGAATTTGGTTATTTTTACAATCTTTCTTTTGATCATATAGCTCCGTACGTATTTTTGGTTTTGAGCGTTCCTAGTAATAGAAAATAAAGAAAAGTGCTTTGACACACTAAATATATATTATAATGCTCATCAATCTCTTGCGTTTTTTTCTACCGTTTCAAATGTAAAAATTGAGCAACCCTTCTATTTTTGAAATCCAATCGGTACCAAGTAATTAAATAAATTCAAGCAAGGACAATTGTAAAGTTAATAGTTCAAGCCCATTGAATTATGGACACTTTGTTGACTCACATTTTTCTTTGTTCCTCTATCATCACCTCGACTTGGTTTTGACTGGATTTCCTAGATTAATAAATATTAGAAAAGATTTTCAGCTCAATTATGGAATTATGTCCGATTCGATTTCTAAAGAAATGACAAACCGCCTTAAGGATAACCGATACTCTTCTGATTATGTTTATCTTTTTTGTAAAATGTTGTAGGGCGAGATGAAAAAACACCAAAGTGCATACTAATGTCTTTCACTCTAATATCACTGACTGCATGAAACAATAGTTTCAAGCATTAAAGTCACAAGCAATACAGGAAAGCACGATCTTATACAATGCCTAGCACAAACCTGTACAAAATGCAACGTTGTCTAGTGGCGTATTAAAGTTATCTTTCATATGTTTATACACACTTAACAAAAACTGTGAACAAAGCTTATTAATGCATATGTCTCTCTCCTTCAATTGTTGTAAAGAGATTCTGAGAACCACGGTTTTGCTTTCGAAAAATTCCCAAATAGTTATACCCACAAAAACAAATGGTTTTAAATTCAGTCAGTAGATATATGGTTTTCTGAAATTACAATGTAATGCCACTGCTTGCTAACGATAATAAGAATAATAGGATCACTCAACTATCTTATAGAATGGTAATATTTATAAAACATTAATTTGCTTGAAATCAAAAATAACTACTGTTAACTTTAGCATCACTTCCCTTCTAAACTAGTTCAAATAAGTTTAAAGTATGAAATCACACATGCAATCAAACACACACACACGCATAAAATGTTTGAGATTGTTGTGCATAGCTTACATTTTCTGCGGCGTTCTTCTGTTTTTTTCTTTGTTGTAATCGACCGTTGTCACCAGGTTTCTCCTTGATTGGAAAAAAGAAATTAATGTTTGTAGCAAGTATCAAAATAAAATATTTTTTACTTCCTGCTTGCTTTAGCTGTGCAACAATTGATGACATTAAATTGCTGAACATAGTATTTGTCTTATGATTGGTCCCACAACGAATGAAAGTTGGATATCATTGCAAATGATACACATTAAGTATGGCCTACATCTGACATATGTGCAAAATATTGATTCGATTAAAATACTGATATTTAACAGTCTCTTATGTACACTTTTATGTAAATTACTATAGCAATATTTATACACTATTTGATATGTAGAATATGAAATTATGAACATTTTGATGCGCAAATATCTATTTTGAAATTTTGTTTGAATGTTATAGTGTATAAAAACTATCAATAGTAAACTTTATGATTTCTATTTACCTTCTCCCTTTCCTGTGTCTGCTTTACGTTTCCCGAGACTGAAATAAAATTAATTGAGCTTAATTATTGATAAAATATTCATTAGGTAATTTATTTATAATTTTGATAGCATTATGTTATAACGCTTATTCAAGGCTGCAAAACACGTGTTTCATGATAAAGTCGATAAATTACGGTTAAGATCAAACTTTCGGAAAGCTAAATTCACAGAACTTTTGGGAGCATAAAATCCAAAGTTGTTCTTAACAAAACAGAAAATCCCTCTATGCAGAAAAAGAGAGGCGAAAGATACCAAAGGGAAATTCAAACTCGAAAGTAAAAAATAGACTGACAACACCATGACTAAAAAGAAAAAAGACAAACAGACAAACAACAGTACACAAAACACAACATAGAAAGACTCAGCAGCACAAACCATCCCAAAAGCTGAAAATGATCTCAGGTGCTCCAGAAGGGTAAGCAGATCGTGCTACACATGTTGCACAGAAGTTGTAGTTAAACGCAGAACCGGACATTCTGGGGTACACGTATGGTACTGGTTGAATTAAACATATTGTAATATGAACTGTCATTTTCATTTGATCTTCGAGTGAGTTGACCTCTGTTGTTTTAAGAGAAGTTCTTTACGTGAATGGTTTTCTAGTTATTGTACTATCAAATCCCGAAGTTGACCGCTTGCATTAGAAAAGGCACATAATATGAGGAGCTTAGATCAGTGCATTTCCTTCCATCTAAGAAATTGTTTTTGCACTGTCTAGCTCTGCCTCCTTTGATTAGTTAAAGATTGCAGATTAAATCAAAGTGTAAAACAAATGATCATCACATTTTGAAAATATTTCATAAATAGATAAATAAAAGAGTACATAATACACCTATTTCTAGATTAAGAAACAAACTTCAAGTACTTTCAAAGCGATTTGTGTTTGTACCTACCAACAAAGCAGCCAACAATGTCGAGGTGGTATGCCGTAAATACTACACGGACGTTTTTAAGAATGAAATTTTATATTCTTCTACATTCAAGTCCGTGCGATCCTTAGAGAGTCATATAGTACACAAACATATCATAACCACATCACAGCTTAAGGCATCTTCTGAACATTTAAAGGTCCCTACTATGTATTGGTTACCTAAACTACACAAAAAACCAGTAAAAATATCGTTTCATCTCGGCCTCAAGTAAGTGTTCTACAACTAGTCTAAGTGCTTTTGACTAGTTCCTTACTACTATCAAAGAATTTATCATTAACTTTTGTAATGAAACATATGCAAATAATAGAATTAACTATTTCTGGAGTATAAAAAATTCTTTGGATGTTTTAGATAAATTACGTGCTTTTGAGGGTCGTTTTGATTCTGTTGACAGTTTTGACATTTCAACTCTTTACACTACACTTCCACACAATCTTATCAAACAATTTTTTTCCTATTTAATTAAGTCGTTTGGTAAATATGGATACAAATATATTTGCTGTAACCAATTTAAAGCCTTCTTCTCTAGTGAGAAAGGTAAATAAGCTAAATATACTTACTGGAGGTGTGATGAGATGATTGAAGCTGTTAATTTTCTCCTTGATAATATTTATGTACAATTCGGCAATACAGTTTATCGACAGGTTGTAGGTATTCCTATGGGTACCAATTGCGCCCCTTTAATAGCTAACTTGTTCTTGTACTGTTATGAATCACAGTTTATGACCAAAATCGGTAAAGATCCGTCTAAATTGCATTTGATTGATCAATTCAACAACACTTACGGTTTTCTTGTTGATATTTTTCCGTTGAATAATCAAGAATTTTCTTAATATACTTCCGAAATTTACCCAAAGGAACTGACTTTAAATAAATCAAATATTAACGGTAATAACTGTCCTTTCCTAGATTTCGATAATTCAGTTTTACACGGGAAATTCAGCACTGAAATTTATGACAAAAGGGACGATTTTTCGTTCCCCATTGTTAATTTTTTTTTTTTGGACGGTGATTTCTCAACTCGTTTGCTATGCCTGTGTCTGTTGTGAAGTTTTAGATTTCAATGAACGTAATCTATGTATTACTGATAAATTATTAAGTCAGGGATTTCGTTACCACAAATCACTTAAAACCTTTACTAAATTCTTGCATAGATATACAGATTTGGTTTTGAAGTTTGGTTGTACCTATAGACCATTTGTCCATAGATAATTACCGTCCAATCACTTTGTGGAATACAGATGTTAAACTTATTACATCTATAGCACAAAGACTTAAAATTATATCCCTAATCATACAAAAAGATCAAACTGGTTATGTAAAAAATCGCTATAAAGCAAACTTTAGTATTGATGGAGCTATACCATTCATAGACTTTTCTGAAGCGTTCGACTCACTAGAATGGGACTTTATGCTGGAATCATTACAAAAATTTGGATTTAATGAGTCATTTCAACAGTGGGTCAAAACACTATATCATGATATAAAAGAATGAATTTTAAATAACGGGTGAATCTCTGAAACCTTTGGGATTCAATGGGGAATTAGACAAGGATTCCCTTTAAGCGCTTTATTGTTCGTTTTATCAGTCGAAATACTGGCTTGTAGAATAAGGGATAATAATGATCTGAAAGGGATACAAATAAAAATAGAAGAAAAAAAACTCATAGCCTAAAAATCTCACAACTAGCAGATGATACAACTCTCTTTTTAAGATCTAAAGATGAAATAAGACATGCACTAAATTAAATTGATCTTTCTCTTGACTTAAACTCGATAGAAACAGATACAGAAGGTATATGGCTAGGTAAGCTTAAACATTGCAAAGATAAATTTGCAAGTATCAACTGGAAAGATAAAGTGAAAAGTTTTGGTATTCATTTCGGCCTTAACAAACGAGAATGTGAAACACTTAATATAGATAAACAGTTTGAAACATCAGAAAACATAGTAAACGATTGGAAGAAGAGAAAATTGAGTATTATTGGAAAGATAACTATAATCAAAACACTAGTTATTTCAAATATAACATTTGTTGTTTCATTGTTACATCTAAGCAAAGAGACTATAAGTCCATTTAAAAAGATCTTATTTAATTTTTCATTGGTGGGTGGTAGAGAGAAAGTTAAACGCTCAGTGTTAGAAAAGATTACATTGAAGGGGGATTGAAAATTACGGATATTGATGCATACATTGAGGCTATCAAAATAAATTGGGTTAAAAGATAAACTGATGAAACGTGTGCCAACTGGAAAAAATTATACCAACCTATTATTTCAGGGAGTTTGAGGATAACAATTTGATATATAAAATGAATCTTTGTTTTCATAAGTCATTAGAAAACCTGAAAAATTTACCTACTTTTGGAGAAATCAATATTTAAAGATTCATGGCAAAAGTTTATATCTTAGTCATTAGGTAAAAGAAAACATAATTTTTGTTAATGATTTAATTGATGATTAAGGAGAAATTTCTCATAAAGTATTAGATAAACTGAAAAAGAAACAAAACTGGATCGCTGAACTATGCACTCTTCGAAAAGCCTTACCCAAAAGATGGAACGAAAAATTAAAGAGTAATATATCAAAACATACTAAAATTAACATAAAACAAAACATAAAAATGTTTTGTCATGGATTGTATAACAACTTAAGTTTAAAGAAATTTATAATACTAGAAAATTCCCGCGAAATATACTTTGGTTCATAATTTAAATATTAATATATAGTTTTGGTGTAAGGCGATATTAAGATCTTAAATCTTTTTGAAGCGTGTCAAAGAAGAAATACTACCACTCAATATGACACCCAAAAGAATAGTCTTCTCAACAGAAATGTTTGCGCTTGTGATCTAATCATAGGATATGTCATTGTTATACCCTGGATGAATTGCACTGATCAAAATAATATGTGTTTATAAATACCTTTAATTGGTGACATACAGAGTGAAAACTGCCTTGGATGTTTTACAAAAAATATCCTGACCCTGATTTGGTAAAAAAAAAATCTGTCTAGATCTTCTAGCAGTCATTTCTGTACCCATTTTTAACCGAAAACTAAGTAATCCCCCCACCCGTTAGGGTATACTTTTTGCTGAGCAGACCATAATACTTGCAGACAAAGCTGAAATGATGACGGCACGTTAATTTTTGCTAAATTACCCAAAAAATTTTCGCAACATGCTCCGTTCCGCAGAACAATATTTTTTGCACCCCCTCCCGCTAACATTAAATCCTGGATCCGCACCTGATTTCGTGCTCAGAACACCCCCATATATGAGTGGGCTGAAATTTTATGCATTAATATATGAATGGGGGTGGGTCACATTCCAGCCGCACTTCGGTACCCATTTTTAACCGAAAACTGAAGTAATCTCCCCACCCTATTCATATTGAATTGAGGCGGTTCCCCGGAAGGAAAAGCTCTTGACGTGTAAAAATTTGTTGTTAAATTGCTGAGAGCGTCATGGGAATATGTATCACAAAGTGTTTCAGTGTAAGGTCAATATGTACCGCATCTGCTACGAAATAAAATTTAATTTTGCCGGGCAAATGTGCAATGACGGAAATGATGATGGCACGTAAATTTAAGAGCCGAACGTCGGGAAGGACGGTCGATCAGAGCTGGCTTTTTTTCCGATTTTAACCCCTAAAATACCCCCCAAAAGATCTTGAAATGAACACATATCAAACTACGCTGGTCATTACCCCTTTGTGGTATAAAACAATATTCGTGGATTTTATGTGAAAGAAGAAAACGCGACATCCAATTTCAACTCTATTCATTTAGTACTATAGATTATAATCAAGTCTTATAAAGAGCTTCAAGTATGTTTTTGCTCATGGAAAAAACCAACTGAGTGGAAGATATTACATGTAGCAAGCAAAATCGAGAGAATTGTGCAAATTATGATACAAGCATGAAAATCAGCACGAAGCACCATTATTATATTCTTTTAAAGAAAAAAACTGCTGGTCATAAAAAAATCATTTTTTCAAGATGGCCACGGCCTTTTTCTAAAATGGCTGTTGTTTCCAGTTCAAAAATACTTATTTTTCTGGCCATCT